AATGATGGTGCCAACTTGGGCCAGTGAAGCAACGTCCTCCACAACTAGACTGAAGAACAAAACAACAGCAACTTGTCTGTTCCCCTTCCCCCAATTCCCTAGCGCTGTTCCTATCCCCCAATTCCCCAATAAAAATCTTAAAAAACAAACACAAACAAAACACCCATCTCCTGGTCATGTTTATTCTTTAATATACCAGACCTTCAATACAAAGCACTATGAATAATATCCAGTATAGCTTTTTAGAAGCAGAATGGCTCTATCATCGTACATAAGGTACTAAAAAACGTTAGTGAAATAAACCTCAGCATTTAACACTTTTGATAAACATCAGATTCTACACTCAATTACGAAAAAGCAAATAAGGTTATTATCCTTGAATGACGTACAAAAGCACTGAGAAGACAGGACACAAGATATCTATATGCAGATGATAAAGAGCACCTGTCAAAGATACCTACAGTGTCTACTAACGGAAGGATGTGGGGCCCACTATCTCCATCGTAGGAAAGGTTGCTTTAGTTGAGGTAAAAGTTTCTGAGACTACAATGTTGTGCTTAAGAGCAGGGACTTTGGGACCATGATGTCCGAGTTTGAGTTAGGCTTAGTTATGTGATCAAATTTCTTAGATTCTCTGTGATCCAGTTCCCTAAACTGTAAATGACATAACGGCACTGTCTCATAGGGAATATTATGCATTAATATTTGTAAAGGCTTAAGCCAGTGTTTAGAACTTAGCAAATGATAAAGTAGTGTTTGACTAATAATCACCACTCTTAGGTCTTCTAAATTTCAGCTGCAGCAGCAATGAATAATTTTTCACAAGGACCAACCAACCCATCTCACTCTGACAGCAACCTGCCTGTATATTGTAGTCTTTCTAGTCTCTGCCCTAAAAACTTCTATTCTGTGGGAGGCTGCCGGAGCCACAGGATGTACAGGGGAGTCCATGCCCCCAGGGATAACTTTCAACCCAGGAGAGAGGAATCAGTGCTATTAACCGTAAGACAGGCAATTCTGAGATGCACACTATGCTTGCTTGCTTCAAGTTCACAGTGGCAACTCATCTTCATGGAAGTGAGTTGCCACTGCCCACAGCAGGAGCCTCAACTCACTAATACTGGCTTTCTTTTTCTTTTTTCTCTTTAGATTTGTAAAAGCAAAGTGTGTGGGGGACATCTGTTTAATACTAAGTAGTTCAATAAATATTTATTCAACAAAATGTTCAGCAAAAGGCTAGGAGATCACTTCTAAAGGTATGCAGCCACCCATAGGCATAGATCAAAGCCAGTGAAGCAGACGAAAACCAAGAAAAAGAATGTAAAAGGAAAAGGACAGCAAAACTTTGTTTTGAAGAAACTAAAACATTCTTGTGAAAAACTCTGTGGCCTTGAAGCCACATTTCCCTCCTGCAATTGTTATAATAACCAGGGTGAGCTAGGGTAATAAAAGGATTACTCACTGGTTTCCGAATTCTGATGCCACAAAAAGGAAGCCTGTTTTAAGCACGCACATGGCAGCAGCAACAGGCACAGTATCAAAATACTTGAGCCGGATCTCAGTAACCTGGAGTGAAAAGAAAAAAAGATTCTAGTATGTAGGCAAGTGAAGCTAGGCCACGGAAGGAAGGCCAGTATTATAAGACAGCATAAGCAGAATAGCAAATAAAATACTGCACTAATCTTCCCCCCCCCCCCCCNTGCCTCGCCCAGGAAGAGCGCAATGATGGTGTCAACTTGGGCCAGTGAAGCAACGTCCTCCACAACTAGACTGAAGAACAAAACGACAGCAACTTGTCTGTTCCCCTTCCCCTAAATCCCCAATAAAAATCTTTAAAAAAAAATGTTCCATCTTATTTCAAGCCTTAATAAAGCACATAGATTACTTCTTCACAACTTAAAGAATATTTTGCGATCTTAGCTATCATGTTTCTTACTATATGGATTTAAACTTTAGGAGAGGGAATCCAGATGCCTCACTAGGCTAGTAAACAGCTGCCTCAAAAAATGCTTATTGCCCTGCTACAGATACCCAACTTCCTGCTACTTTTATTCTTGATCTACAAACTATTTAAACAATTATTTCCTCAAATTACAATGAAAAGGGAAGAAAAATCAAATTAGGAAATACTTATTTTCTATTCCCAAGAACTAACCCTTTCTCAAAAAGAAATAACAAAAGCAGTTAATTTCAAAACGATTCGTTTTACCAGAAAGAGTGCCTAATTGCTGATTTGTTTCCCCAACACAATGAACAAACCTCTCTCCCACTAGAAATATGATCAATTAGACAGGGAAGGGTGATCCCTAATGGTCATTTGAACCCCAGCAATCCTGGACAAAGAGGCATCGTAAAATTCCTGCTGTGAATAGTAGGGATATAATCCCCATGCCAGGTCACTTCGGATTCCTCCCTAAGGATGTCATTAAAAACGTTCCTGTTACTGACTATCCCAGTGTCTCTGGAGTATTTTAAAGAGAAAATGAGTGTTAAAATGACATAAGCATAGGTATTCATAGACAGGTTAAGTGATAAAAGGTCAATTTTAGAATACTGTGAAATATATGAATTTACATTAAAAAGAAAAACATAACACACACATTTGTGTGGTGTGTGTGTGTGTGCGCGTAAAGATACAGAGAAAGTGCCTGGAAGCAATCATAACAAGCTGTTAATAGCAGCAGCCTCAGTGGAGTGGGGGGTTAAAAGACTGGGGTAAGAGTTTTACTATTAACCTTTTCTATGGTTTGAATTTTTACATTGAACAAGAGTTTTATAATTAAAGAAAAAAAAAGCCCGATGAGTTATATAATGGTTTTTTAAATCCCCAACTTCTACCTAAACTGTTTCACCTTTACAACTCTGATGATTCCACAGACATGCTGACAAACCTGACTCTTAGACCAGACCTTAATTTAACGGAGTTAAAACTTTAAACTCATTCAGATTCAAAAACTTCTGGCTGGCACTGCTCATTGCAGAGGTGACTAGAAAGACCCACACCTGGCAAAACAAAATGGGAGAGAGGCTGTCCAATTCATCAACAAGCACAAGGTTTTTGAGTGGTCTTGGCTGAAAGAAGAATGTGTCTCCTTCTTCCAGAGGCATGGCAGATGAAAACTCAGGTTCTTCGTCATCATCTCCAAGATGTGCAATTTGATATAAATAACTGGAAAGCAAAGAAGACTTTAGTTAAAAACATTTTGTCTGAGGATGTTTGACATCAACATAGATTATTCAGTCAATGCATTATTGAGCTCGAAATTTCTGCTTATGTGAGGGGGTTTTCTCTTTTTTAAGAATAGAAAAGGGGGCCGACCGAGTGGCTCAGCTGGTTAAGAGCTCGCTAAGGAGCACCAGCTCTGAGCAGCAGCAGGGCTGCAGTTCGGATCCCACATTGAGGGCCAGTGACGCTCGCCCTCTACAGCCAAGATGATGAACAACAGCTCAACCTGAAGCTGGGCTGCTGTGAGTTGCCGGCGATGGCGCCGGCAGGGCTGCAGTGGGCTGCCGTGAGCTACATGCGTGGCTGGCAGCCAGCGTGAGTGGCTGGTAGCCGGTGTGAGCTACCGGGAGACGCTGTGAGCGGCTGACCAACAACCGGCGACTGATTGCCTCACCCGGGAAGAGCGCAGTGATCATACCAACATGGGCCAGTGAAGCGACGTCCTCCACAACTAGGCTGAAGAACAAAACAGCAATTTGTCTACCTGTCTGTTCCCCTCCCCAAAACTCCCCAATAAAATCTTAAAAAAAAAAAAAAAAGAATAGAAAAGGGATGAAAAAATTAAGGCCACTGAATTTAAACTGGTGCAAAGAAAGAACCTTAGCATCAGTAGTTAAAAGCACTGGGCTTCCACTAGACTGCTTGGGTATGAATTTCAGCTATGCCCTTTAATTTGCCACGTAACCTTAGGCTTATTAGTCTCTCTGTGCTCAGTGAACCAATTCAAAGGCGCACCATAAACGAGGGAAATCAGTTTGAGAGGAGATAATCTGTAAAAACACATCACATACTGAGTGTGCAATGAGCCTTAGGGAGCAGCTCAATTAAAACAAAACAGCCTTGGGCCGGCCGAGTGGCGCGATGGTTAAGAACTCGCTTGGGANTGGGCTACTGTGTGTAGCCAGCAGCCAGCGTGAGTGGCCGGCAGCCGCCGGGAGCGGCTGTCCAGAAGCCGGCGACTGATCTGCCTCGCCCGGGAAGAGCGCAATGATGGTGCCAACTTGGGCCAGTGAAGCAACCTCCTCCACAACTGGACTGAAGAACAAAAGGACAGCAACTTGTCTGTTCCCCTTCCCCCAATTCCCCAATTTAAAAGAAAAAAAAAAAAAAGTGACTTAAGAGCACATAGTAATAAGGAATAAATTTAATAAGATATAAAAATATACACTGCTATATTAATAGCAGTATTAACATAGTTAAAAATGTTAAGTATCTGAAAAGTTTGAATAAAGACCAAGACTAGAAGGAAATGGGAGTTAAATGTCCCATGCAGATTTCCTAACCTCCATGTTATGGCTAGTGAGCTGGGAACTAGGAGAGATGTTTTTCCCCTTTTATCTCCATCTGCCAATTTTTTAAAGTGTGTCTGTTGTGCTAACATGTTAAGAAATAGGAAATTTAAACTCTAAACTTTATGAAAATAGAGGAGGAAAGAACATTTTTTCTTTCACGGAAACATTAAATTTATCTTAGATCTCATCAGAGTAAAGCCAGACTGCTTTATCAATGTTTCCCTCCAGATGATCTAGAAATTCCAATCTTACCTCAAGCCCATGCCTTAAGACTCTCAAAGATGACCGGGGTCCCCGACCACAGGCCACATAGAGCTGTGGAGTGTCTTCATTTGCCAGATCAGCTATCTGCAGAGAAAAAAAATGCTTATTTGTGCTAAGTTTTCACATTGATCCCTGATTCTTCTCAGGGAACAAACTACCTTTTAGTTTATTGAGCTTACATATTGGCTACAGACTCTGAAGGGAATAAAGGAAAATGCCCAGATGTCCCAAAAAGCAAACCATTTATATGATGGGTTTTACCAACCAACAAAAGGCTTGTATCATCAGTTAAGTTAGCAAAGGATTTTTTTAGTTAGTGAAATGAACTTATAACCTCCAAATGAAATTTAGCATTTCTTTTCAAATAAAAATATAAACTATAGTCTTATCAGTATCTGTGACTTTGTCACCAATAAAAAACCACTTATTCATACAACATTCAAGTTTATAGATACCGCCAATTTTCATTTCCCTCATCGTTACTTTAAAAACCATCTTTAGGGCCGGCCGAGTGGCGCATTGGTTAAGAGCTGGCTTGGGACGCCGGAGGACCCCGGTTCGGATCCCACATATGAGGGCCAGTGACACTGCCCTCTACAGCTAAGATGCTGAACAACAGCTCAACCTGGAGCTGGG